AGCACGCGGGAGGCTGGAGACAGAGAGCAAAAGCCTCTCAGCTCTGGAGTAAACCACACCCAACCTGGAATTCTGCTTTTTCAAATTTTTAAAATTTAGACTGTTACAGCCAAGCTAGACGCCTACACAGACGATCCACTAACGAGGAGGGGAGAACACAGACATTTCAGACAGGCGAGACCTCAGAGGCTCCCTTCCCTTCTCCTTTTCTCAAGAAGCCTTTGGAGTCTGTCGCTTCACCACATTGAACCCAAGGAGTGGAGACGGGAGTCCAGAAGCCAAAGGCCCACACACGGGAGCGGGGCCCATGGACGCGCCCGACCGGGACCGCAGTCGGGGCGGAGGGCTCGGGGCTCCAGGAGTGGCTCCTTCAAGAGAAAAACTTAAAGGGCATCTAAAGTGGTAGCCAACCCGCGGTGCCTTCAGACAACAGAGTGTGAGTCGGCGGTAAAGGGAAATGCGCTCTCAGGCCTCAAAATTCATGCAGGGACCTTGAATGCGTGTTTCTAAGTGAAAGAAGCCAGTCTGAAAAGGCCACTGTGGTTTCAACTACATGACACTCTGGACAAGCCAGACCTGCAGGAACGGGGGAGGTCAGGGACTGCGGGGGGTGGGGAGGGGCTGGCACACAGAGCACAGAGGACTTCAGAGCAGAGACGCGAGGTTACTGAGACGTGGCCTGGGCTGGGCAAGCACCCCTGGGTCTCACTGTGGAACCACCGCTGACCCTGGGTTCTCTGGAAGCCGAAAGAGCGGGTCCTCCCCGCCGAGTGCACACTGCAGTGCACCCGTGGGCGCACCTGCCGGCTCTCAGCGTGACCCCCAACGCGAGTCACAACAGCCTGCATGCCTGACGTCAGGTACCCGGGGCAGAACACCTGCGGAGGGGTCACGCTGTGGCCGCGCTCAAATCCGTCTGTTCAAAATCTCTCCTTAAATGTGCGTAAGAGGACAGGGCAGAGGCCTCCAAGAAGGCGGTGTGTGCGGGAAAATGAAACCAGGCGACCCGATGAGGGAAGGAAGTCTTCTGGGAGCCAGATGAGCCGGGTTGGGGGCAGAGGGGCCTGGGGCCCTGGGGCTGGGGTCCGGGCGGCGGGTCCCCGGCGGCGGGAGGGCAGGCCCTCGTGGCACTGACCGCCAGCCCCAGGAGCCCCTTACGGGCGGCGTTTGCAAAGCTGTGGCCGTTTCTGCCCTTGGGTTTCTCCTCTCCCTGAGGGGCTGAGGAGACACCTCCAGCCGAGGGGTGATGGCCGGGTTGAGGGGCGGAATGAGGGCGCTGTTCACTCCGCACCACTCCCAGGCTGCACACCTGCGGCCAATACTGTCAGGAGAGCTGGGAAAACACCACACCCGACCGTGAAGCGTGTGCGAGGCAGAGCCCTGCAGGCACGAGGTCGCAGGTGGGGCCCGCGCCTGCTGCCCGACGTGTCCTGAGAGGAGAGGCTCTGCGCCCCCCCCGCTGGGAGCAGGGCCCCGAGAGGGTGGGCGCAGGGGGCTCATTCGCAGGCGCGCGTTGAAGCGTGATGCCTCCCCTGCGGTCTGGACGGAACGCTCTGAGCAGCCGAAGCACAGTTCTGCTGTGACAGCCGGGTGGGTGACAGCATGTCCTCCTTTCAGAGACCGAGCCCCGGGCCCTGGGACGGTCCCCCCGGCAGGGAGGCCACGAGGAAAGCCCTCCCGTGGTCAGGGCCGCCCCACCCAGCATCGCCCGGGGAGCAGACGCCACAGCATGAGACAGAACAGCCTCAGCGGACCAACCCGTCCCGGGGCCAGGAGGCCAGCTCAGCAAGGTCCGGGGCTGCGCGCCCAGATGCAGACCCTCGGCTTGCGCTCAGCTCAGCTCTCAACGTGTGACACGTGCTCCGAAGGCCGAGGGGCAGACTGCCCACGTAGCGGGGGCTCGGTCACGGACGCCAGCACCCGCTGTTTGCAGGTCTACTCAAACTTCCCGAGCCTTTGACTCAGCCCCGGCGGGGGCGCGTTCCTAGAACTGCGTCACCTCGCCGCGCGCTCGCGGTCCCCCCACAGTCCTCCTGCGCCCGCAGGCGGGGGCGGGGTCCCCACACGCACCTCTGGTTTAGTCTCCTGAGCCTGCGTTTCTTGCTCAGTCCAGGTTTGTCAGCTTTGTTGACCCAGTCAGAGAACCAGCTTCCGGTTCTGTTGCCTTTCTCCTCAGCTTCATCCGTCCCTGCTGTGGTTTTGATGCGAACCGGGACACAGCGAGAGCCTGCTGTGTGAGCCGCCCGCCCTGGGCCCTGCCGGCCCCTCTGCTGCCTCGCTCCGCTGCCTGCGCAGCCTCGGGCTGCCTCCCCACTGGCCACCAAAGAGTGGCAGGCAACTGTGGCCAAGGAAGTTGGGGTGGCGGGGCCCGTGGAGCTGGAGGGACCCTGGCCCAGGTGACGTGACTTCTGCCGGGTCCGGGGGTGATAACGCTGCAGAGACAAAGACCACAAGCCTCAGGTCCTGGAGCGAAGCGCGCTCACCCCCGGCTCCCTTGCAGGCTGCTCCCGCGGTCCCGCGGGGCGGCTGTCGTCCGAGCAGGGCCCCGATAACTCAGCGGAGCATTTTGGTGGCCCCACCGTCTCCACCTGCAGTCTCCTGGCTGCAGAGTTGAGCAGCCTGGGGTCACTTCCGCCATGTCCATGCGCGTCACCAGGAAGAGAAGGGGAACTCGCTGTCACACGATGACGTATTTGTTTTCCCCCAAGTTAAGCTTCACATGAAACTCCGAACTGGGTGCTTCTCTGTTTTAAGAGGGACAGGGGCACAGGCCTGCTGAAGGCCCACCCCCTCCCAGAAGGACCAGCCTCAACCTTCTGCCTCTAAGGAGCAGAGGGGGCAAGCTGGTGACAGGGTCCACCGCCCCCCACCCATTTGGCACATTCAGAAATGACTGCAAAGCCGGGGGCTCCTGGCCGGCACACAGCGTCACACTGGCAGGGGCGGCTGGGAGCGTCCGGAAGACTCCTTGCTCCAGGGCGGCCGACGGCACTTTGTAAAGGACAGCAGAGCGGGAGAAACCGCCCTCGTCGTGGACCGCAGACACAGTCCTGCCCAGCGTGGCTGCAGAGCCCTATTCAAACCGCGACGCTGGTGAGGAACGGGGGGATCGCCACGCGGCCACCTCCTCGTTGAAGTCCTCGTCGGCCCCGAGAAAGTTCAGAAATTCACCTGATCTGAGAAAATGTCAGAGGAAAGTGCCTGATAACAAAGGTCAGGATGTTAAGTAAAGAGACAGGAATTCATCCCCACTCATTAACAGGATGCTGACGTGACCTTTAAATCAAATCGAAGTCGCAGCCTCGAGGAGAAGGAGCTCCCTCTGCTTTGTGGATGGAGCCTAAGTGTCGTCTTGACCCCCTCCCTCCATCCCTTCCCCAGCTGAGAACACGGTGCGTCAGAGGAAACCGTGCGTCTGTGCAGACTGCGTCACCCTCCTTGGGGCCAAGCCCAAACCCATCCCCTGCCCTCGCAATTGCCCTGCTTCTGGGAGAAGCACCGCGGCCCCCGTGCGCCTGGCTCTCACCTGCTCCTCCCCGGCCCCCTTGGCCAGCCCCGCCCCCTCCCCCACCCCGGGCACCTCGAGACCCCAGGCTGGGCTGCCAGGAGCCTCCCACGCAGTCTCCCAGCCCCAGCT